AGGGGCAAAAATGCATAAAATCGTGTTTCAAGGCCAATGTGTCTGGGTATGGCTCGGGTGATCAAGAGTTTTAAGCTTGGAAAATATATAGTTTTATAGCTTTCGAAAATGGCTATCGAATGGTAAAAACCAGAACTCGATAACTATTAATATTAGTAAATTATTATCAAAACACTGTTGCATATGTGTATAATATATCCATGAAGTAGACCCATAATCTTCAGCACGCTTGGTACAAATAACGAATCAATCTAAAATAACCTATCTAACCCAGTTTTTCAAGCTGAACACGAATCTGAAGTTCATTTTCGTGATTCCTGTAGAAATTGTATGTCTTTATGGGGTAGAATCAATGGTGACTAGGTAGGGTAGGGGACAGTGCGGTCCATGCTAACTTGGCCCCTGAGTTTTTTTGTCTTGACAATTTAATGTCAAAAGATGTATCTTGACAAGATCTATGTCTGGTAGAAAAAGAAGTTTGGGACCGTTTGCACCACTCAAGAAAAGCCCAAAATACTGCTGTCCCAGAATGTAGGATTTCTTGAGATTTAGAAGGTTTTTGATCTATAGCGTTTCTTTTATCCTAGATATGAATCATCAAAATTGGATAAATTTGTAGCCTATACTATTCCCTATCTAATGAGATGTGCCCGATCTCAAACGGTCAAACCATTCATGAGAAAATGTCACAATACTGAGCACACCCATTTTTAGCGACTTTTTAGGGTCAATTTTGACCCCCTTACACTTGTTTTAGCTCGCATTCTTCATAGGTAAAACCAAATGCGCTAATATTTTGGATTTAACTATAGTTTACCTAGACCTATTATTTAAGAAAATAAAATCGAAAAAAAAATTTTTTTCCCCGGCGACCTATATGGAGAGTAGGGTGGTCTTCTCGCGGACCCTCTCTTAAGACGCATGAGTTTGATCCATAGGCTTTTGAACCATAATTGATTAAAGGCGGACTTAAAGTCGACAAATAAAGCAGCTGTAGCAGTATTTACTGCAAGACCTTGACCTATTTGATCAATAATCGATACGATTCTGGTGGACATATTATGTCCTGGCCTAAAACCAGTTTGTTCTTCCGGTAGAATACCATTATCCAAAATCCATTGACGAAAATGTAAAAGAAACAGTTTTTCATACAACTTTGAAAAGCATGGAAGTAATGAGATTGGACGAGTATCATTTAAATCCACTATAGACGTTTTCGTTTTGGACAATAGTATAATTTTTGCAATCTGCCAATGTCGAGGAAAACATACATTTTGAAACATATAATTAAAAGCGGATGTGATAAATGTAAGATGAGATGAAGGTGAAAGTTTTATAATTCTGTTTGATACACCATCAAATCCTGTGGAATTTTTATTCTTTAATGATGAAACAGCTTTCTTAACATCAACGAATTTGAGGTTAATAAAATCTAATTTCGAATTTTGTAATTTTTTATTCAATTCTTGATCAACTAAATCAGCTTCAATTTCCAACGCAGATTGATTATTTTCATGCTCAGAAAATTGTTCTAGATAAAATTTCTTAGCTATATCACACATTTCCACTGGAGATGTGATAGTCGCATCATTATGTAGAATACCTTCAATTGGTGGACAATAAGAAGAGAAATGACGACGAGCTTTTCTCCAGAATTGTTTAATATCATATGAGTTGAGAGATTTACAATAATCATTCCACATGCTCCTCTTGTGTGAAAACATAACTTTTCGTATGTGTTGCGAAAGTAGCTTTAATTGTAAAATATAATAAGGATGTTTTGTTCTTCTAACCAGATACAGATAATGTCGTTTGTGTTGTATTAGATCAACTATCTGTAGTGGAATCGATGGTTTATATGTTTTACAATAAGATACATAAGTTAATCGTGAAGAAGATAACGACAAAAAACGTTCGTACAGACAAAAAAATTCTATTTTGTCTAACATAATTGTAGATAAATTGATCCAAAAAGAAGAGGTAAATGTTATAAATAATTCATATAAGGACCAATAAGTACGTTTAATTTGAATAAAACGATCTCTCGAAGGTATTGTGAATGGTGATGACCAAAATACAGGATAATGATCACTTCCAATAGATGGAAGTACAGAGAAAGAACCAGAATGCATGTTCATAGGTGCTAAAATAAGGTCAATCACTGCATTTGATCGTGTTGAAGTAGGAACAAATTTGTTGACAACTTGATAATAATTTTCATTTAACCATTCAAATAAAAGGCGTCCTTTTTGATTTCCTGTTGTATTGAACCAAGATTCATGTTTAGCATTTAAATCACCAAGTAAAAAAGTATTTGCATTTCGACGTAGTATATCGTTGAAAAGATTTAGTGGTAATTTTTCATTTGGTGGAGAATAACAAGTTACTAATTGCAATTGGTTTGAAGAATTTCCTATATCTAAAACAATCAGGTTATTGTCATTATTATAACTGGTGACTCTTTGTACTGGAATAGAACGATGTGTAGCAATCAGTACACCACCAAAAGCATTTGATCCTTGTTGAAGGAAGACTTGATAATTTGTTAAATGTATTTGAAAATATTTTGATGTATCATTATCATGTCGTGTTCCATTTAATACAATAATAGATACATCCATTGTATTAAGTAATTCAAATAGATCATATAGATAAAGTTTAAGACTACTAATATTCAATAATAAAAAAGATAATTCATTTTTAATGTTGAGCATATCCATTGTTTGTTGTTGACGTATTTCCCATTTCTTTAATAAATTATTTAATGTAGTTGTTGTGGTCCATTCTGAAGTAAGATCTTGTAAAATTTTATTTTGCTTTTTAGATAGATTAGTAATTGGAATTATATGAGGATCTTTTTGGATAGGAATAAATACATTTGCGTCAGGATTCATATGTTGTTGTGTAGTGCAAAATCACCATTGGATGTTGTACGTTCTTGAGCACCTGTTTTATCACCTGATACATCACCAATATTAACATTTAAAATAATATTCTTAGATGTAAAATCTATCAGTTTATTATATAATAAGGATATAGTTTGTTTATTTGAACCTCTTGTTTTTACATGTATTTGATTGAAAATTTCTTTGACAAGTGGACATAGAATTTCATAGATACAATATTTCATTTGATTAATATCATTTTTGTGATAATTAAATTTCATATCGATGGCATCAAATTTTCCACTCAGGTCATCTTGCTGTTGTTTAATATGCAACATTGTATTGTTAATTTTATCAAACATATTGATAATGTCCATTTGGTAATTATTGTTTTTTATTATTTACGGTTGTTGATGTAGCATTAAGTGCTGCTGTTTCAACACCAAAAAGACATTCTTTTGTGTTGTCAGACCAGATTTGCTTGTGTTGTTGTTGAGCTGTTGACGTGGATGTTACATGTGAAATCTTCAGTTGTTGATGTTTTTCTTGACGTTTTCCTAATTTAACTGGACAACTTGGATTTCCTGCCATATGATCACCTTGGCAATGAGCACATTTGATGATATTATCACAGTTTGGATTATAAGGGTGGTTCTGTGAACATCTGAAGCAAACTGGATTATTTTTGTTTGGACAATGTGCTGCAATGTGATCATCGTAAACTTGACAATTGTAACATCTTAATATTCGCGTTGGTGGTACATATGGTTCAACAGCAAATGCAGTATTCTCATCATCAAGTAATATGCGTTTTGATTTTAATATCGTCGATAATTCCTTATATGATGAAAAATCAACACGAACTTTTGATAGAGGACGTCCACCATTAACGAATAGACGTACAGCACGTACAACTGATGAATAATGTTGTTTTAATTCATTTCCAAAAGCTTGTGCACTCCATTGACTAGGAACATTTTGAACAACGATAGAATACGATGATGGTATTTTATTTGGTAAGTCGAGTTTGTATTTGGTGTTGTTGATCATAGAAGGCCAGTTGGTTTCACACATCAAGTATTCGAATTGTGTTGTAGTGCTGGTGTAAAGTAAAAAACACGTTTGATTATCTGATGTTTTGGTATATCGTCCATAGGTTAGATTTAATTTACAATGTTTGTTAATTTCTTTTATTATACTTAATTCTGTTGATGGGTAACGATTAACATCTTGTAGTGTAATACGAAATGGTGGAAATGTTTGACGTGATGACTCACGACGTAATCGAAATGATGAATCATTGGGGCTTTTCTTAAATTGATGATTCATATTAAAATAAGATGTTAATGTTCTTGCTGTTGATGTTCTTGTACTTTCTTGTTTATTTTGACCTAACTTGGATGGATGTTGATCAATTCCAATATCACGACCAGATGTTTCCATACGATTGCGTTTAGGTGTATGATTTGATGATTCATCTTCATTTGGATGTTGAACAGATCTTTTTCTGTTGTAAGAACGAAAGTTCTGTTCATTTGAATTACTATGGATCAAATTATCTGCATATGGATTTCCACTATCATTAATTTCAGCAGTATACATTCTAACTACTGAATTGGTAAAGCTCAAGTGTGTAAATACTCACGTGTTGATACACGTGAGCACAAAAGGCGTATACGAAGAACAGTTAAAATAATAAGGCGTGACCGATAACTATCGTATCGAGCGACGAATGAGTCCATTTCGTAATTATTCAACAGTATTATGTGAATTATTTGTTGTGATTTATTATAGTTCATCACACGTATCAATTGATATGTTTGATCGATTATATACGAGTTTTAAAATTGCTCATTGTTATTTTGATGTTCATCTTTTTACTCGCCGACGACAGTTTTGAACATTCATGTTTATGTATTTTTTTTTCTTTACGATTATTGAACTCAATGTTCTTCATTATTTGGTACACAACCTGTATCATTACCAGAAAATGATATGTATGCTTATTGGTGATATTCTTATTTTTTGTATTATATTTAAAAATCATGAATTGGAGTTATTGCGACAAATAATATAAATAAACAATCAGAAAGACAATTATCCATAATACTTGCAATTACAACAACAGTTTCATTGTTTATTGTTAGTCCATATAGTTTTTGAATCTTCTCATAAATTGTACAAAGCATGCTACGTGCATTTTATCTCTTTCTAACTATCAATAGTACTATTCGCAAATATTTCAAAAATTTATTGAAACCTGCTCGAAGAAATGCTGCTGTTCATCCAATTGTAATAGCAACAACAAGCTTCTCGATCCGTACAATTTTTTTGCATCATCTGCTATGTATCTATGACTGAAACAAAATACCACATAGGTTTGGAAGATATCAGTATCAATATATCTAATGGATAAACGGAGGATTGTGTATTCCAGAGATTTTTGTGACTTTTATTGCAGTTTCCGTGATTCTGAATCCTGGACATCCACCGTTTCCCTTTTAAGTAATTATTCGATGAGTTCAGTAGTGAAATTGTAAACCTTTCATCACTTCAAGATCACTTTTCACCAACAGAATAATTTAATTACGTACTACAAGAATTGCTGAAAGATAATGGACGACATTGTATACACACTGGCGGGAAAAGCATGATTTCTCACTTAAATAATGCAGTGCCACGAACCATAACTTTATGAAAAACTTTCTCTTCCAAATAACTGATGATGATGATTTGTTTAGCAGAGTATGTGAGATTTTTAGAAATCATGCCATATAAATCACAATTAAAATCTAGTTCGCTGTGGTATATGAAACCAGTTTTATTCAAAATTGAGAGTGAGGAGGGTGTCAAACATACAGTTTTCTCGTTTTCTTTCCTTCTTGCTTAAAATACAAATCTTGCTTGATGAAATATGTGTAAATAAGTAATTGTAAGATAAATTTAGAAAAGGAAAAAACATTTTACACATTAGTTGGAAATTTCTTTTATATTATTTTAGTGTTGAAAATGGCCCATTGAACTAGATCGAAAGTTTAATTGTATTTTTTGCATGGAATAAATAAACGATTGAAGAATTTGTTTATCTTGGAATAGCTTCTTATCTGTTTTATTTTCGTCACTTTTTTATCTTTATCTTTTCGCACTTTAAATATTGCTTTCGGATATAATGGTTAGGTCACATCATGTGAGAAGAAGAATAAAGAGATAAGAAAAAAAAGCAAATAAATAAAGAAAAGACACATGACTTGCAATATGAAACAGAAGATAAACTAGAAAATTCATCCACTTGTATCATTTTCAGTTATATTTCTAAGATGACTATGCTGGCGGCTGAATCAATCAAACATGATGCCATTGTTACCAATAACAAAGATGAGATTGTATCATCAGTTTGTCATTACGATTGGACAAATAAATTGACATGCGACAATAGTTTTCGAATGAAATGGCAACTAGCAATGGAAGAAGACATTAATAGTAATGTCAGTCCAAAAGATGTTATTACCATTAGTTTGATTGGTGGTCAAACGAGTGATCGACGTCATGTAATAAACTCCTTATTTTGTTGCAATCCAATCGACGATAAGCCGTCAACTAACCATACACAATCATTCATGACTTATTTCGAGAGTACACAGCTGAATAGCCTGCTTCCATTGAACCAATCTGTTGTTGTTTTTGACTATGTTGTCAATTTTCCGTCGCCTGGTTACTACGCTTCAAGAGATCAGATGTTTGAAGTTGACAAAGTTGTCAAATTTTCGTTCAAACTAAGTACTGTAGTTATTTTGTGCTATTCGCTTTCACATCAATATATGACGAATCCGATTGAATCTATCTGGGAGCTCTACATCAATGAACTGGCCTCAGGAAATATGGACACCATTAAAAGTCCTATATTAATCATTCTTCAATTATCCACATCTCGAGATATGCTTCTCACATCAGCAGACGCTAAGATCGAATTTTTCAATAAATATCGAACAAGTACCGACCAACTATATGAATATTTTACCAATATTCTTGTATGGCGTTTACCTGAAGATATTAATGTTAATACAGAACATTCTATCATCATTATCGACGAACTCAAAACACTCCTGAAAAGCATTTATTCGAGATCCAATGTTCAATCACGCATTTTTAGCCGCGACATATGGCTAGATGAGTTGGATCAAATTTTAAATCAGACCCAAAGTGAAATTAAAACTGTATCTGATCGAAATATCTATAAAATCATCACTCAATCTAGAAATTACTTTTTGTATTTGTATGAACGAACATCTATGCGCTCGGTGAATTGGTTCAGCTTCTGTCGTTCACAGACAATTAACTTTCTTGCGCATACTCTCGCTGTACAACTCATCCGAGAGAAGAAAATACTAGATAACGAAGATGTATCTAACCTTACTTCAAAAGTATTAGATTTACTGGATAAGAAATTGCATAATTTGGAGCCCTGTGGAGCACGTTATAATGGTATTGGATATACAAAAGATGCATCTCCCATTTACTGTTACCAGCCGAGAAATGCACACACTACTCACCGAACATCATGTTGTGTCTATGGCATTTCCAAATTGAAAAATATAATGAAACTTTCTGTTGTCGATCGTTGGGATGGAGACTTTGTCTCCAGTTGCGATGAGAAGCCGAGTTTAACGAACAAAAATACACTGACTGTTTTGGTTCGAGACTATGCTCTCAAGGCTTTTTTGCGAGAGCAAGATAAATCAGTGATCTACGATGCACTTATCAGCTTCTTTCATAATAGTAATATTTATGTAACAGACATGATGCAAGAAGAATATACATATCGATTCCGATTTCATTGTTTATGCTGTCTCAATATTAATTTTTTGAATGAATATGGAATATGTTACGCGTGCAACAGATACCTTGTGAAATATTCACAAGCTACGATCAATTTTGAATTACCGGTAATAAATGCTGCCTATGCTACGCCGAATAATTGCATAATATGTGTAATGAACCAGTGTGACTACTGCCTTTTACCTTGTGGTCATCATGGCTATTGCTATAAGTGCGCTGAACGAATGGTCGATATCTTTCATCGATGTGCGATTTGCTTCAATGAAGTAACAGATCAAATGAAACTTACCTACAATTTTACCAAGAAGAATCAAACTTTAAGTAAAAGTTTTTTTTTTCCATCATCAGTTTAAAACGTATGATATCGATTAAACTATTAATTCATTGAATTGAACTGTAGTGACGCATATTTTAATTCAAATTTTACTAGACCTATATTGTACACTAGCGAAATCTCGTGCATACTACACGGTCCCCTTTCTACTATAAAGTATTACATTTGTGATTTAACCTTGATCCATAATAAACAATCAGATATTTCACACTATATAACACGTCACCCTCAACTTTTTGTCCTTTTTTCGTCACCGCGTTAAGTCATCTATTTTGGCTCAAATTTTCAAACGGCTCATTCAAACAAGCTCATATTTTCAAAGATTTCGGAGAAGGCAGCGACATATCTTCTAACGAAGGAACGAACCTTCTTGGCAACCCGATTACTGAGAAAAGTTAATAAAACTGTGGCCGAAATTGTCATCGCGTTGCGCTTATTAAAGCTGTTATTGTTTTACTTGTACAAAAGCTACATTTTATTTCGAGATCATATTTTGTGAAGAATTGTTCGCTCTACAGAATTACCAAATTCAATCATTTTTAGCACCTTTCTAAGGGTACTTTCAAGCAGATCAAATATGAACAAAAAACTGTCCAGAAACTTTGGTCCGACTGACTCATCCAAAATATTTTTTTTAGGTCTTTCAAAGATTTCATCACTGTTTTCGGATTAAAACAGATACACAATGTGTGAACCTTTCTGAAGAAAGCTAAAAAAGAACAAAGATTTTGTAAAAAAAAACTTCTCGATCAGTCGTTATTTGATAGCATGTAACTAACACTATGAGAATCGGAATAAATCTTTTGTGAAACATCGATAATACTTCCAAGGGAAAGAACAACACTTTGTCAAGCACATAATTCGCACTGAGAATTAAATAAATAAAATCGCTCAACTAGACTGAACAGATAAGGGTATGGGTGTGGGTGTGGGTGTGGGTGTGGGTGTGGGTGGG